TTACTTACTTGACTATACAATAAACTGATACATAGAACATTTTCTTGAAAATTGAAACAGAAAATGTTACTTGCGTGATCATCATAAAACAGTTTTGTGAAGAACATCATACATTGGGTATATAACTGTTAGACATGGTAAAGTTTTACCTTTTGTAATACATTTTTATTGTTTGCTTCAAAATCTGAGAATAACTGTATTACAAATTTTAATGTATAAATGTTTAAAATATTATTCTTAAATTACATTTAGTAAGCATTAGTATACATTTTATTATGTATACTAAGCAATCTCAATTAAGAATTTTCCCTTAGTATAAAGAAATAAGAATATTAGTCCTTATTTGATCTGGACATCACAAGCTCCTTCATGTCACAATAGGAATACTTAGTCCTGTTCACTGAGAAAACCTAAGTTGGGAGCATAACTCCCATAATTTATAACTAAACACTTTTCTATTCTAACTCTATTATTCTATATATATATACACATAGAGAGAGAGAGGGAGAGACAGAGACAGAGAGAGAGGGAGAGAGAAAAAGAAGTGCTATCTTATAAAAACTTATTCTAAATCAGATTATGTATAGTAATATAAATGATTATATATTCATTTATAAATCCTCAGACATGCCAATACCTATATATAAAATAAAGAATAAAAATATAGAACTGCATTCCCCCATCTTTATTCATATACAGAGCAAATTCAATGATGAAATAAATTAGAAAAATACTTAAGGTCATTGCTGAAGCGTATGTAACTCATTCATCCAAGTTGGAAATCATTTGCATTATAAACACCTACAGAAGATGCATTCTTTTCTAGGAGTCTAACAAGGACAGGAGTGTTATGAACTCTGTCTCAGAAATAATATTCAGTCTCACACCTACATACCTAATTCATCAAAGTGTGTTTCTGGGCCATCTTCATCTGTGACTGAGCACACAAGCCTTGCTTTTAAGAAGGTGGTCCATTTGTTGACAAGACTACGCTGCCCACCAGTGTCATTCTGAAAACATTTTATAAAAATAATTTAGATAATTGGGGAAAAGTTTGAAGTATATAAAAAGTAAACCTGTACTCTGATTAATATAGAATTTATTGTAACTTAAGGGTTAGAAAACATAAGTATGAATCAAGAAGAAATAATAGTAGTCTGAGATTATTCTCTTATTTTAGCATTCGTTGGCAACTGATTATTTGAGTTAAAAATTATATGCCCCAATTTGATAATACTTAATAGAAATATTCGTTCAATGCTACAATGAATAAGTAACTTAGTTTGCCTCTTCTAAATCATCAATTATTCTCAATCTGAACAAAATTTATTTTACACAGGATTTCAGAGCTTAAAGTGATCAGGAAAGCGGGTACATACCTACAACTGATGGCCCCAGGTGATTCTATTTTCTCTCCGTTATTACTTAACCCTGAGTAATCTGGATAGATAGTTTATGATATACATTTCTCTGGCCAATGTGGGGGTGAGGGAGCCTTTGTTCATTCATAAAGTCTATTGGTGACTTTTCTTCCTTGGGGTTCAAAGGCTTTGTCCCTGGCTAACTTTGCTATATTTCTCCAAGTGACTAAGAAGCAGCTGAGCTCTAGTTGGTAGAATATTGCAGAATTTACAGATAAATATTCACAACTCATTAAAAATACTTTGTCTAAAGTTATCATACATAAGTCAATAAAAGTCAATGAGAATGCTAGAGAATGCTATAGGAATTTCTGAAGTGCTGTGTATATATTGGTAATACAGAGATTTTGATCACTTTAGATTTACAATGGTATTTCCTAAAGCAATTCTTAATTTTTCACTATACCAAACAGCTCCACAATGATTAATGATTATGCTTTACAGAAATTCAATAGTAATTTATTTACTATAATAGTTTTTAAAAAAAATTTTGGTAACTTAGAATATTGTCGAAGTACCAGTGCAGTTAATGGAATTCCAATATTTGTCAAAACTAGCCATATGTACTAAACAACACCAAAGTACTCCCAGAATATTTTAGCGAAATGTGTCATGCTAATCTCACATGACAGGTAAAATATATATGTTGTAGTAAAGATCTTTTTGGAATATTTTATTCATTGATAACTGTAGATAATAAAAACCTAAAAACTGAAAAACATATATACTTTTAATTCTTCAAATAGGAACACAAATGTGCTTACAGGGCATATTCTTGCAATCATGGAATGGATCTGCTTTGCACTTCTGTTGTTGTCAGTCAGTTTTTCTTTGAAGAAGAAGTACACCTTAGCATCATTTGGATCAGTGCCATCTGGGATGACATGTGCATCCACAAACATAGGTTCTGCAAAAGCAATAGAAAGATTATGTACCCAAGATATGAACCCATCTACTATTATTTAAAAGAGACCACAAGTGTATTCCTTTCTCCTCTTTGGCATGAGAATTTTTTTCATAGTCAAAATTTTGATAAGCAGTGATTGTATTCATTTCAAGATACCTCACTGGGAATAGAAAATGCCACTCTAATATGATAGATAAAACCTTGTCTCTGACTGCAGTACATCTTAGAAGTGTGCTAAATGTAAAAATTTGTTGTGTACTGATAAATTTTAAAGAATTGAAAATTTATTCTACTGGTTATTTCCCATGGAATTTAATGGCTATTTTGTTCTAAAAAAATGTTTGAGTTTCAAAAATGTGATTTGCAATCCAGTACATGTAACAAGGTTAATTCAGTGAAGCGGAAGGAGTCCAAAGTCTGAAACATTTCTTTCTTGAAACATAGCAAGTGAAATAAAGAGGAAACTTCTTAAGGAACAGATACAGTCACTGCAGTCATTTAAAGTCATACAAGGTTTCCCTATTTCAGGAACAAAACAACTTTTAGAATATTCTGTTTCCAGATTACTGTAGGAAAAATTTAAAGAGGCAAATGGACAATTGTTGCTTTTATGTATTGCTCTATCGGTGAAATAAAAGGCTTCGGTGACTCATGCTTAACTGCATCTTTGACTGAATAGGCAAATTAGAAAGAACATGAAAGTTTCCTGAGGGTGAAATGATAAAGGCTCAGTGGTTTCTTCTCCCTCCAATAGATAGCAACTGATTGGAATCATAGAGCAAAATCAAATAGACAGCCTTTCAGGATGCAAATTCCTTATGACCTCAAGAATTTGAAACAGCTAAGCTATGATTATCACAAAGTAATCGTACTTTGATTTCTATTAAACAGTCATCAAAATTTGAGAAAGTAATATGTACTCATTTTATAAGCAAGGGTCTAAATATAAAACAAATATCAAAAGTTCTTTATATGATCCATACATTCTAAGGTCATGAATTTATTCTGAAACTATAGAAGCAGGTTAAAGGATTTAAAAACACATTTAACTGTAATATATTACCATTCACAAAATGGAGAACGTTATGTGTTGTTTGTATGCCTGATGAATGTCATTGTCATTTTTAGTAACTCGGTCCTATGACAAGTGTATCACCATTGACAAACTAACAATTAGAATATGAATTATGGGTTATTTCATTTCTTTAGCTAAATATTTTCCTGCAGGGTGTAGAATTATAATCACTCATACCATAGCCTGATATTTTTATAATAATGATAATAATAATATGATAATAATAGCCAGTGACAATTTTTCCTATTGTCTGTATTTCTCTATGTTATTTTAAAGCATGATACCAAATAAAAAAAATGTTTTAAATGTTGTCTTACCACTTAGCCATTTGGAATTATGTTGATCAGTTCTGACTGCATTCCTCTTGGTTAAACTTCGAAAAATAGCAGCATCTGTGCCCATGAAATCTATATACATTCCTGAGAAAAGCTCCTCATCTATGAAAAAGGAAGAAAATGTCAAGATTAATGATGATTTTAATTTTCAAGGAGTTTTAATTTAGTACATCATCCCAATTTTAGAGGATGTGTGTAATTATGAATTGGTTTCTGTTTTCTACCAAATACAAAATGATCAATTTTAATAATATTTTACTAATCAAATTTTAAAAAGCTTGTGTTCTACATAGATGCAAAAATTCCTCTGCCTATACTGAATATATCAAGTACTAAGTGTTTTTACGTTCTGAATCAGAAATTTCAGAAAGAGACAAAAGAACTTAACTGCTTTGCTTTGATAAATAAAAATTGTAAAAATCAGAAAATATGTTTACAATTTTAGCAAGCAACAAAAAACTAAAGTTTTAGGTTATGCCATTTAACACATGAAATTTTAATCTTATCACCTATAAATTATAGAAAATAAGCTATGGTCTCAAAAATAGTCATCACATTAAAATTCTGAGATTTTACTTAATAGCTTGGACAAATTTTAGTATTTTTATTACTTGATGGTATAGGAGCTTTATTAAAATTGGGAAAATACTATTGTGGCATGGCTATTTCTCTGACCTTGTAATGACAAGCCATGGACCTGACTCTTTCCCACGCTCTGCAAAGAAGCCACTCCCCTTCCCTCTGCCAGCCAATCAGTTGACTATAAACGCTTGCAGGGGAGGAGCTATGGGTATAAAATCTGGGAAAATCAGAAGGCTGGTATCTATCGCCATTTTGTAAGGCTGTCCACAACCACAAAATTTATGTCTGGGTGTGGACTTTTGAACACAGCCATGAATTGGGGGCCGGGGGGGGGCGCCCGCTTGACTATAAGTAGACTTGCACCCCAAGTTCAGTTAGGAAGTCCAATAAACTCATTAAGATTCTTCAAACCTGGGTTTTGAGAATTTTTTTTCCTCAGGCTGTTGCAGGGACCATGGGAGGAGGGGATTGGATGCCACGTGCACCTCCCAGCAGTGAATTTGACTTACAACTGTTAGTGAGCAAAAGAATCAAAGTACACATTTGACCTTTAGTGCAACAAGGCTCTCAGTGTGATAAGTACAGCGCACAAATTCAATAGCAACTTAGCTATAAAATATATAGTGATAGAAAAGAAACTATGTCTAACATTCAAATAATTTGTCATTAATGGCCTGTCCAAGAATTGAATTTTTATCTTAATGAGGAATAGCAAGCATGGATGTTTTGAGAACCAATGTGACCTTTGTGCATTAAACAGTAGCTGAACATCTACTTAGAAAAAAAAAAAAATCTAATTCTTCAGGTCTGGCCCACTGACCTGCCATGCCTCTGGGCTCTTGAATACTCTCCTGGCTACTTTTCATACTTTGGCCATTTGGCAGGACTGGGGCATTTGAAGCACTCCAATCTAAGTGTTTCATAATAAACAATACTTGTTTGACAGGACAGAATACAGAATGGAATGTTTCTAAAATGTTCTCATGAGGTTTCGAACTGGACCCTTACCAGCTAGTGAACTAGTGTGACAGACATCTTGTCACCTGTGCCTCCTTCCGAAAAGGAGCCAAAGGCCCACTGAAACACTTTAAAGTGTGATAAAAAGATTTGTATGAGAGCATTTGAGCAGATCAGTTATTCAAAAAAAAAAAATCTGTGAATATCTGTCAAGCATATACATGCATAGATTTGGCTATTAAAATGACATAACTCATAATTATTTCCCATTTTGTTACAGTTCATTAACCATAAAACCGTGGACTATAAATCCCTGATGCACAATAAAATTGACAAAGTACAGCTGTCAATTACATCTGCTTATAAAAGGAAAAGAAAAAAACATCAGAGCTTGGTGTACAGCTTTCTGATTCTACAGCATAAGACCCCATCCATTATACCTTAAGTATTACAATTACATAATCTTGCCTAATTGGCTTCGTTACCTGCCTTACAGTCTAAATTTTTCTAATGTCAAATAGGACATTTGCTGCTTCATGTTGTATCAACAGTAAATATTTATTTAACAACACTGGGAAGAATTCAAGAGGATGGAGTTTTTCAGGATTTCTTTATAGAGTTTTATGCAAAAATAAACTTGTGCCTCTTAACTTTAAAACCTCTTAACTTTAAACAATAATTTGCTTTGTAATTTTACTTCTATTCATTAAAATGCTGCATGAGTTTTATGAGAAGTTCTTGAAAAGATAACACCTGATTTCTTTGTGGTCCAGAATGATAACTAAAAATATCAAAAGAACATTGAACTTGTCAGTAGATTAGATGCTGAAACTATATTGTAAAATATTGACCTCTTCTCATTCTAAATGTTTCATGGCATTTAACAGATATGAGTACTTCAACCAATCTGTTTTCTTTAGAGCACTGTAATTGAATTGGAAATTCCAAACTCTTATAAGGTAGTGAGAAAAATCACATAAATTTTGAAATAATTATAGAGAAGTAACCAAGTAGAAAAGTAAAACAAGAAATGCAAGCCTAAAAAATTCATGCTTTCTTCTTTTTTAACTTAAAATTTTTACATTAAATTATTTATTATTAATATTTGTGTGTGTGTATGTGTGTGTGTGTGTGTGTGTGTGTGTGTGTGTGTGTGTATGCACACACATACTCTTGCCTGTCATGACCCAACTGTGGAAGTCAGAGGACGACTTGAGAAGTTGGATCTACCTTCTACCATGTGGATCTTGGGGCCTGAATTCAGGTCATCAGGCTTGTAGGAAAGCTGCTTTGTTCGCTGAACCATCCTGTAGGCCCTTCACTGATATTTTTATGTTAAACATTTAGTGACTTTATTTGATAATATGACTTGTAATATAATTAAAACTTAATATAGGAACATAAACACATGCATTCAGTCTCAGGTCTTTGAGAAATCGAGATAGCTAGTATTCGTTTTGTAAGTAAATCCAATTCTCTAAGGATAAAGCCAGTAAAAGACTTAAAGCCTTTGGCATGTCCTGCTTTTTTATTTTAAATCACATTCAAACAGGTAAAACTTCATGTTTTCCTTTTACCAGATCTTTAAAGTTTTTTTCATAGTTTTCAAATCAAAACAAATGAGTAATATGTGCTGTCACACACATCATATAATTCTAGTGATTTGCTTTATTTTAAATGTAAATAAAATTCACATACAAATAAACATTTTTGAAACATTGCTGCTATCATCTACCATTTGGAAACTTACTGGAAAATATTATTTATAAGACACAATTTATAGTTTCAAAGCTTTCTAACCATTGTTCTAGAGAGATACTTTCCTCTTCTTTCAGTTTGAATGATCATAGTAGCATTAATTTTCTGGTTAATTCCAAGATCACAATTTAGTGGGTACTGTGGGTGTCTATCTTAACTTTCTTTCCACATTAAGAAAGATAGGCTTCCCCACTTAAATGAATCAAGTAAACATTTTTATATGGAATTTTTGTTAGTTTCATAGAATATATTTGGTCATATTTAGACTCTCTCTCCTTTCTCTGCACCTCCTTTACTGTCCCTCTACCTTTAGAGTCAAATTTGTGTGCCCAAATGCCTCTCAGGTTCATCCACTGGAGCCTGGTCAATCTACCAAGAGTCTTACACTTAAAGGAGACTGACTATTCCCCTATAAGCAGCTTTCCTCAGGGAGGGTTGGGGTTTCTTATTCATAAAGTAAAAATTTTGACACATTTTTGTTCACCTAGTCTGTGGTCAATGATTAAAATGATTAAAAGCAATAAATAAAAAAAAAAACAAAGAAGAGAAAACCCATCTCCTACACATTAGATACATATTTAAATGGGTTATGGGAAGGAATCAAATGCTGGAAGTTCAAATTCGGATTGAGAAACTGAGTCGACAATGTGATTGGACCTACTTCTTAACTGGTGTTTTGTGGAAAATAAAGCAAAGAAAAAGGGCCAACATTTCCTAAAGCAACCTTTACACCAATGCACAGAGAATGTACTAGATCAACATATGCATTTTGTTCTTCCATCTGAAAAAAATGGCATGTTGTATCATTTTTAAAGATTATTAAAATGAAGGAAACAATCACAGAAAGCATTGCATTCTATTTTCAGTTACTGTGTTCATGTCAATTTTCTTTATTACTTGACATCCTCCCCCTTTTTATATACTTACTGATCATCACAGACACAGTGTTCACATTGGGGTTGAAAGAGCATCGTCCTTTTCCAGATTCACACTTCGAATCAATTATGAATACTTGGTCCTTCAAGTATTATATTTTCAAGAAAATATCAGAGAAAAATAAAAGATTATAATAAATACAATGAAACATAATCATAATCCATTTAAAATACCTGATCTTTAGTTTAGAAATCTTTAAAAATAATGCGTGTTTACATAGTTACTTATGTCTTTCAAATTTGCTATATTATGACTTATTTATCCTGTAAAAATCCATCTTCAAATTACAAACTAATCTCAGCAAGCCTAACTATCATCTTATTATACAACCCAGAGGGTTGATCCAAGTGTTAGCTCCACTTAAATTAACATCATCAAAATTCACTTGAAAATCTAGGATCATTATACATTTATTTAGATAATGAAATTATTGTTGAAAATTAGCCAAAAAAAGAAAACAATGCTTAATGGAATAATATATGCAAGATTGTAATACTTCTAAATTAAGACAGTTTTAAAAGAATAAAATATTATTACTACTTAATTTTCATGTAACACATTGTACAAGACTCAAAAATAATATTTTATACAAAATATCATTTATTCAATTGTGTATTGACTGAATCATAATTTAGAAAACATTTACTATGTAGTTAATGGTTAATTGGACATTGGGGATACAATAAGCAAAATATACAAAAATCCAAGCCCTTGAATAGTTTATAATCGAGAACAGAAGATATAAAATGAAAAAAGCATAAAGACATAACCCAGAGTATCTGAGATGGTACCCAGTGCATAGGAGAAAACTCTCAGATGGAGGAAACAGGAAAGACTTGAGATGGGGACCTATAAATTCAAACTATAATGATGCTCAGTGAGCAACCCTAGGGGATCATTTCACCAGTCAAGATACTGGCTTTTTCCCTATACCAACCTACTACAAGCTATTACTCAATTCAGAGGGAAAATATAACCAAGTTTCATTAGATAATGGAAAGCTTTCATTATTAAGTTGAAACTTTTTGAGCACTATCCTGAAGAAATAGTCTTATAATATTTTTGAGTGTGGAAATAAAAGAATCAGAAATCAGCTCCATAAAATTTTGATCATATCTTGTGTTTTAGGAAGATTGCATAAGGAACATATATAATAAGAGACTCAATTCAGTAAAATAGGCTGGTTGTTTTATTAAAAACGTCCAAGTACTAGTTGATAATCATCTGACTTCTGTGATCTCAGTGGTCATGGTAAGAGCAGTTGAAATGTAAAAGAATTTGTCTGGTGACAATCATAGCTTAGAAACAAATAAGAAATGGTGATGAGTCAAGAGAATATAAAGCAATCTTCACAAGTTTTGTTTTCTTGAAGAAAATAAGACTAGCTTGTTTTTGCTAGAGGAAGTCTGATGCACTAGAGGATGTCACTGAGGCAATACTAGTGAAATAACTACACAAACAGAATCCAAATCTGGTCTCTTGACACTTAGTTACATCTGCTTTCCAAAGCAAATAATTATAAAGATGAAGGAAAACAACAAAATGTAATAATATTGGTTGTGTTCACAGAGCCAAGAACAGATTTCCCTAGGTAAGCCAGTGCGGCCACTGGAAGAACTGATGAAATTGCTAGGCACCAGGCGTTCTTTAATGACCACTACTCCACAACACGGCTTCTTCATCTCTTCAGTGTCACAATCACCGTCCACATATTGTCAGCACTGGGAAATCAACCATTTCAAACACAGAGAAACACTTCAGCTCGCATCCTAAAACTTCAGCCCTCCCCTCCCCAGTTTATCTGTCTTCTCCTTTTTCTTAAACTTTCTTCTTTTTGATTTTGTAATACTAGATATTAGTATCTCAATTTCAGTAACTTTTACAGTTAGTTTTATTAGGGCATTTCCACAAGTACTTTGTTCTTGCTGGTCCTCTTCCCCTGCTCCCCTCTCCTGCCCCAGTGCTCCTCTCTCATCATCATCATCTTCTTCCTCCTTCTGCTTTCCTGTTACATCTTTCTATTTCCATCCCCGCAGTATCTATTTTCCCCTTCCCGTGGTCTCTTTTTGATTTTCAGTACCCTCTGTGCCCATGTAGAAAAACATTAAATTCAGGGATATGTAGTACTTATCTTTTTTATTCTGTATTATTTCACTTAATATAATGATTTCTGGTTCATTTCATTTTCCTGAAACTGTCATGATTATCTTTTTCTTTATGATTTGGTTGAGTTGAACATATGCACCACATTTTCATATCCATTCAAATACTGATGGACATCTAGACTGGATCCATTTCTTAGCTATTATGAGTTGTACAGCAATACACATGGACGTACAAGTATCTCTGTGTTAGGACTGGGCTGGGAGTTTGTGATAGCTAGTGTTGTCAACTTCAAAAAAATCTAGAATCCCCTACCTGAGAGTTGGGTATGTGACCATGCCTACGAGAGATTTTTTAAATTGGGTTAACTGAGGTGGGAAGATTCACCTTGAATGTGGGAGGCACCATTTCATGTACAGATTTTTTAAATTGGGTTAACTGAGGTGGGAAGATTCACCTTGAATGTGGGAGGCACCATTTCATGTACAGATTTTTTAAATTGGGTTAACTGAGGTGGGAAGATTCACCTTGAATGTGGGAGGCACCATTTCATGTACTGGGCACTGGACTGAATGAAAACAGAAAGGGAGCTTAGCATCAAAGATATGTGTATTCATTTACTTTTCCTTTGACTGTGAACTTAATGTGACTAGCTGCTTCAATGTGACTAGCTTGTCACTGTGATTTCCCTGCTCTAATGGACTGTAACCTGGAACTATGAGGTAAGTAAACCCTTTCTCCCCTAAATTGCTATTGTCAGAATATTTTTTAATACAGCAAGAGGCAAAGAAAACAAAACAGTTTCTCTGGGTATATTCCCAGGATTAATTTAGTTTTTATGTTCTTTTGTCCTATGGTAGTTCTATTTTTGATCTTTTGAGAAACCTCCACACTGACTTCCCTAGTGGCTGTACCAGTTTATACTCCCAGCAGCACTGAAGGGGATTCCACTTTCATCACATCCTCATTATCATCATCATGCTTCCTGTATTCCACTAAGAATCTTCCTGAGAAAGAAATTAGAAAAAAAAGAGATCTACAGATTCAACAAAATCCCCATCAAAATTTCAATCCTGTTCTTTGCAGAATTAGGAAAAAAGTCTTCAAATTCATATGGAAATGCAAAAAGACTGGCATAGTCAAAGCAGTCCTAACCCAAGGAACAACGTTGGAAGCATCATCTTATCTGACCCTAAATCATATGATGGAGTCATAGTGACAAGGACAGCATGGAGGGAATCAGTGTGGTTAGACATCATTTTCGGTTACTGTGTGGAAATAAAAGTTATGTGATAAAGGTTTAATAATGTCATGGAAAATGGGAACATCAAAGACAGTTAAAAACGAACTAGCTTCAGTAGCGCTGTAATGGAATGAAAACGAGAAAGGTAAAGACGAAAAAGTTACAGAATGAGATAATTTTAAGGAAAGAAAAAATCGTCTCTTAAAATCAGAATCAAAGGAATGAAAATATGAAACAGGTGATGGATATTGATCAGGTAACTAATTTATCAGGAAAATAGACTATACCTCTTTTGCAAAAAAAATAAAAGTTACAAAGGATGTTAAAATGGAATAACTAGACTAACTTGATTTGAGCAGCACAGAAATAATGTGGATGCCTGGCATATTTGTCATCACCTAAGAGAGTATTGATCAGTCAAAGGCAAAGTTATCTGCTTGAGGAGTGGCAGGATTAGGGGCTTAAATGACCTCAATTGTGGGAAAATGTGATACATAAACATCTGACAAAAGCAACTACAGTGTTGCTTCGATAGCTTTTCAAGAGTTACAGCAATATCAGTCAATCACTGTTTTGTGCTGTGTTCTTTTGTTTGATGCTTTACTCATTACTTTGAGTTACTGTGCATTTTTTATTTTCTTTTTTCTAGGAACAAGAGCTAAGCGTATAGAAGGAATGAACCACGGTTACATCTTAAGTTAGTAAGGACTTTTGTTTTTCAGATGGGCAGTATTGAAATGCTCTAGGAATACATGGCAACCTGACTCACAAAATAATGGAAGAATGATCAGCTGTAAAGAAAGTATGCTGCACTCTAACACGAAGCGTACTTAGCAAATACTGTTCTGAAACCAGGGAGATTTTATGACAATTGATGACTGGAAATGGGGATAATGTCTAAAAAATAGGACAATAATTAAATCTATGCCAACTTAACCTTGTTCACTTTTAAATAACTTTTAAAGATAAAAAATTTCAGTCATGACTACTATCCTCAGGCCTCTTGGGGTAAGTCTATAGCGCAGCTCTCCAATTGATGACTGGAAATGGGGATAATGTCTAAAAAATAGGACAATAATTAAATCTATGCCAACTTAACCTTGTTCACTTTTAAATAACTTTTAAAGATAAAAAATTTCAGTCATGACTACTATCCTCAGGCCTCTTGGGGTAAGTCTATAGCGCAGCTCTCCGCGCCAGGACTCCCTAAGCCTCATTCACCCTTCCACCCCCCACTCCACCCCCCTGCCC